ATCAGTTTCGGGTACCGGAAAGCAGAATTCACTGAACTGAATGGCAACATGAATGGCACACAGTCAAACCCACTAAAAAAACCTAAAAGTGTGTTCTTATTTTCACATAAAAGCACCACTAAGTACTTCGACATATATTTTTCAAAGTCTTTAGGCATTCAAGTGAAATTTCTGGGAGCCCATCTTCACAAGACGACTCAAACTACGTCAACATGTGCAATTGTATGTTGGCATTTTTTACGTTTTGTTTGTGTTGTCAGGTCAACTGCAAACAGGGCTGGTGCATAATCTATCACTCGGCGTTATTTGTATTACTAAAACTTGGCATTTTATGAAAATGTCACCAATCAAATGTTGAAAACTTGAAAAAAACACAGCTTGTATTGGTTTACATTCTTGCAAGTTGTCTTGACTACCAAAATGAGCTGCCAAATCGGGGTCAAACCCATCTCCTTTCGAGGTTAGCAGTTCCAAATGTTCTCTTTTTAGCCTAAACTCTACCCAATCTTGCATGTGTTCACATGGTTTCACCTCGTTTTGTCAACATGCTTCTGTTGCCAGGGTAACTTAGAAAGAAGGCACGACTAGTTGCAGTTTGGCCCTATAACCGACAAGACGTGGTGAAGATGTCGCTTACGGGGCTGGTGACATTTCTGGAATAGTACCGGATCCACAGCGAGACGGCCAACATGACGAAGATTGGTCAAAGACAAACATTGACAATCACACATTAAAGTTGTAGTTAATTGACAAAATTGGTATCTATTTGATTCTCATCAATCTGACACAATTCTAAAGGTCAACTTGAATGCAACGCTCTAAAAATGAATCGTATTAATGTTTATTAATTGCCTGGAAATGCAAATTCCTCTCGCAAAATCGCTCATTTCTTCAGACCCATTTCGTGTCGAAACGCAATTTCATGTTTTGCAAGGCCGACTCTACCGAAATGCAGTAACCATGTCGCTTCAAATTGACTAAAATTGCTCATTTCTTCCAACCAACTTTGCCTCAAAAAGGCCAATTGGAGTCGGAACTAACATCTTTTCTCAATTGTATGTGTGTGTGTGTGTGTGTTGGTGTGTGGTTGTGTCAGTGTATCTTTTTGTCGGCTAGACGAAACGAGACGAGAGGAGACAAGAGGAGACCTACCCGACGGCATTGCAGAGGTTGCGTAGTTGGGGTACTTGTGCTCTTTGACGCCGGTTTTCGGCTTCCTGCGCGGTCGGTACTTGTAGTCGGGATAGTCGCGCATGTGCGTCGCCCTCAGTCGTTTCGCCTCGTCGATGAAGGGTCGTTTGTCCGTCTCCGTCAACAGCTTCCACTCGACGCCCAAACGTTTGCTGATCTCGGAATTGTGCATTTTCGGATTCTCCTGCGCCATCTTGCGTCGTTGGCCTCGTGACCAAACCATAAACGCGTTCATCGGTCGTTTCACGTGACCGCGACACGTCGTCTGTCGGTCCGCGCAGGCCACACTCACCGACACACTGTCCGCACTCCTCGCGACAACCGACGCCTTGACCGATTGTCCGTCTGTCCGCGTCGTCGTCGACGTCGACGTCGACGTTGGCGTCGACGTTGGCGTGAGAATCGGCATTTGTGTGTGCATTTGCACGTGTGTCTGTCTGTGTGCGTGCGGCGGAAGCGGCGGCGGCGGCAACGGCGGTGGTGGTGCAGCCCTACCAACCGTCAACTCTTTCATCGACGGCCAGAAGAGATCTTCACATGCGCTTGTCAAAGAGCTCTGCAGCGCCTCTTTCACCAAACTCCCCACCACCTCCTCGCCTTCGTCACATTCGCCCTCGCCCTCGCCCTCGTCGTCGTCGTCGTCGGCGTCATCTTCTTCCTCGTCACCGACACCCTCGTCGTCGCCGTCCTCGTCGACAGTCTCATCAAAGCCGTCCACCTCTTCGGTTGCTAGGCGCCACGCCGTCTTGACGCCCAGACTCGAGTAGCCCTCGAACAGACGCGGTGACACCGACGGCTTGGTCAACCTGGCGTCGACGTTGGCGTTGGCGTTGGCGTTGAAGTCGCCGTCGACGTTGACGGCGACGTTGGAGTCAATGCCGGCATTGACGTCTAC